ATCTAGCAAATGCTAGGGCATTCTTAAAGGAACAGGATATTTCTAGAAAGAGGTGGCGTGATACTAGTCATGTGACCTCGCTGATGCAACAATATACACCTATTTACTCTAGGTGTTCACAAGCTTCTCCCAGGTGTAATTGACTTAAGGTTTCTTTTTCAAGATTTATTCTATCAACCTGTTTTATCAGCTCAGAATGCTTTATTTTTGACTGGTACTCTGTTTGTGGTCACCCCTCCAGATTCTGTTTAATTCAGGGGGACTTGACTCTTCAATGCGGCCACCCCTCTAGAGTCAGCTTAATTTAGGGAGACTTGGCTCTTCAATGCAGTTACCCCCTCCAGAGTCTGTTTAATTCAGGGAGACTTGACTCTTCAATGCGGTCACCCCTCAAGCGTAAGCTTAATTCAGGAGGACTCATCAATAGAATATTTGCAGAGATGGTTTACCTGCTGTGATTTTACTATTACCAACAACTAAAGAATATTTGTGGTAGCTTGCTCATAATAGCATGATGAGTTGTGTCACATGAATACCAGGTTCAGTGTACTTTGTCTTCATTGACATTATGACAGTTGGAATGTGGAAGTCTCCTCACACACGTACTTGCATCATGTACAAGTTCCTTTATATTCTTCTGGTGCTTATGTAGTGTTAACATTGAACAGGTGGATTTGTTTATCTGGTGCAGTGTTAACATTGAACAGGTGGATTTGTTTATTTGTGTCAGCAATAGTCTCCATGTACGTGATCTTCTTCAAAAGAACTCTTCATTCAAGATTATGTGTCTGGTACGTTGAGAACCCACTGCAGAACTTTTTGAAATATTCCAGTATGGTAGATTTTGTTTATAACTGGCTTGGTATGTTCATAAGTACTTTCTTCAGTGAGAAGTTGCCAGATTATTCCTTAATACAGATTCCACTATTGAAAATCCATTATGACCTGGGTACCAGCAGTGGCTTGGCTTTCAGACTGTACAATTGTTGTAGTTACCAACTCCTCAATCTAGCTGTCACACACACACACTTAGGTTTTTATTCAGTGCCTAACCTCTAGTCATGTGTATTTTGTGCCCATGATGATATCTAGTAATAGTTTCTGAAGGAAACTGATGTTTATGAACCCTTCTCAGTAGTGATAAGTGCCTCTTTATTTTCTGTGGTACTAACTCCCCATGAATGTTTGGATTCTGGAAGTAACACACCATGTTTAAGATTATTATTTTAGTATTTAGTATTAAAATTAAGTTCAAAGTATATATGCTTCTACTATTGCATGCATTCCATTCTACACCATATAACAATAAATAATAATGATTGAGACAGCTTGAGTGCTGGAACAGGTAGGCACTTTTGAGTGAATATGACTAGTATCATAGAAATTAGGAATTGCAGTGGAGGCTGGTAAGAAACAAAATAGAGATGGTTTTGGCTTTGGCAAAATCAAAACAAACAGCTGAATTAATTGTAGAGATAAATATGTGTTTGAATTTCATTTCAATACTAAAATATTAATTCTAGTATATGCATTTGTGATTATGTTTGTGCTAAGTTTTTGCATGTTTCAAAAAATTAACACTGTCAAGGAACAGGAGATGCTGTAATAAAAAAAAATCCCCATATCAAACTTTTTTGCTACCCATGACTGATGATTTTATTTTTAAGTACACTAGTGTACTTTTTTATTTAAATAAATTAGTTCCATATATGAACCAATGAAGCACTAGCCTATAGCTTTACTTTCCTAAAAGATTAGGTGTATTAGTTGGTAGATGTGATACCAGCAGGAAATGACTTGTCCAATTAATCTTGTACCAAAAGCTGTAAGATAGAACCAAAAAAGAATTGTACTTTTATTTTTATGTTTCACAGCTGGTATTATGGCAGGATTACAAGAGTAGATGCAGAGAAACTACTTCTAAATAAACATGAAGGAGCGTTCCTTGTTCGAGTTAGTGAGAGTTCTCCAGGAGACTTCTCACTTTCTGTCAAGTACGTTATTTGTTTGTGTGTGTGAAAAATGCATTATTTTTATTACGAAGCTATTCTGTACACCTTTGTTGTGAAAGATGTAAGTATGTAGAATATTCTTGTAATATGTTTTTACCCTAATTTGTATGAATGTACATGTAATATTAAAAATATGATTTCTTTGAAAATGTATAGCATTTGGCTCGTGTGATGCCTTTTTATTCCAAAAAATATGACATTATGTTATGCATTTCACTCAATAAGTATTGAACTTTTTGATAACAATAAAAACAGACCTGCTTTAGCAGATGGCCACATATTCAGATAAACTGTGTATCTTGAATGAATAATTCTATCGGAAAATCTTGAATAAAAGATAAAATTCAATGGACGTAAAACTAATCCAAAATGTCAAATAAACTGCATCATAACCATAGGATAATTCACTTGTCAACTTCATTAATATTAGATTTTCTCAGAGTAAAGTATAATGAACAAGAGGTTTAACAAATGAAGCTGCTCCATCATACAAGCATGTTAATGTACAAAGGTGTGGGAACTGGGGGTGCGGAAACATATCCTGGCTTTAAATACAGGGGTGCTGTGCACCTGCTGGTTTGATTAACATTTTATAACACAAAAATAACAACTAGATACATAGCTTCCATCATGTATAGGGCTTAAAGTTTTGTTAAATGATTTTCACACCATCACTACTATAAAACATGTTCTAGTCCCACTAAATGAATTGTGTAAAGCAGGTGAAATGTGGAAAAAAATATTAACATTGTGACTTGAGAATCCTGAATTATTTTAATGGCAGCTAATAATTTTGAGCCATCACTGTTGAAATTAATACTAGCATGTACCTCACTCAAGTGATAGTTGAACAAAAATGGTTCTTCTTTCTCTTCTAGAAATATTTCATGACTTTACTACATGGTACATCATAAGACTGATAAAAAAAAAGAAAAACATATGTTGATTATTTAATTTTCAGAAGTTTAAGCCACTAAACAGTCCAGCTTGGCTAGATACCAAGATTTAATAAACAAGAAATTATTAAAGGCTTTAGAAAGTCCTCGTAAGGTACCTACGAGAAAAGATTTTGTGTCACCTCAAATGAAATTATGGCCTCCACTGAGCAATAAGTCAAAATGTAAATAATAAAAGTGTGTCATAAAAGAAACAAACAATATAAAAACAAATCTAGTTGTTACTGTAGATATAATAACTAGAATAGACCTACGGTATAAAACGTTTTTGCTATTGTGTTGTAGTTATAGTGACTAGGTGATACAGTATAAAAAATTTAGTTGTTGTTATTGTGCTGTAGGTGTGATGACTAGGAGAGACCTACAATATAAAAGATGTAATTGTTATTGTACTGTAGGTGTGGTGACTAGGAGAGACCAACACTATAAAAAGGTTAGTTGTTATTGTGCTGTAGGTGTGGTGACTAGGTGATATAATATAAAAAGTTTAGTTGTTGTTGTTGTGCTGTAGATGTGGTGACTAGGAGAGACCTACAATATAAAAGATGTTATTGTACTGTAGGTGTGGTGACTAGGAGAGACCTATGGTATAAAACATTGTTCCTATCATGTTGTTGGTGTGGTCACTAGGTGATACAGTGTTAAAAAGTTTAGTTGTTGTTATTGTGCTGTAGGTGTGGTGACTAGGAGAGACCTACAATATTAAAGATGTAATTGTTATTGTACTGTAGGTATGGTGACTCGGAGAGACCTACGGTATAAAACATTGTTCCTATTATGTTGTAGGTGTGGTGACTAGGAGAGACCAACAATATGAAAAGTTTAGTTTATTGTGCTCTTGGTGTGGTGACTAGGAAAGACCGAAAATAAAAAATGTGTAATTGTTATTGTGCTGTAGGTGTGGTGACTAGGTGATACAGTATAAAAAGTTTAATTGTTATTGTGCTTTAGGTGTGGTGACTAGGAGAGACCTACAATATAAATGGTGTAATTGTTATTATGCTTTAGGTGTGGTGACTAGGAGAGACCTACAATATAAAAAGGTTAGTTAATTGAGCTCTAGGCATTGTGACTAGGAGATACTGACAATATAAGAAGTATAGTTTATTGTGCTCTAGGTGTGGTGACTAGGAGAGACTGACAATATAAAAGGTGTAATTCTTATTGTGCTGTAGGTGTGGTGATTAGGAGAGACCTACAGTATAAAAGGTGTAATTTTTATTGTACTGTAGGTGTGGTGACTAGGAGAGACCAACAGTATAAAAATTTTAGTTCTTATTGTGCTGTAGGTGTGGAGACTAGGAGATGCAGAATAAAAATTTAGTTGTTATTGTGCTCTAGGTGTGGTGACTAGGAGAGACTGACAATATAAAAAGTATAATTTAAATTGCTGTATGTGTGGTGACTTGGAGAGACCTACAATATAAAAGGTGCAATTGTTATTGTGCTGTGGGTGTGGTGACTAGGAGAGATATTCAGTATAAAAAGTTTATTTGTTGTTGTTTTGCTGTAGGTGTGGTGACTAGGAGAGACCTACAATACAAAGCTTAGTTGTTGTGCCTTATGTTTGTTGACTAGGAGAGACCTACAATACACAGTTTAGTTATTGTGCTGTAGGTGTGGTGACTAGTTGATACAGTGTAAAAAGTTTAGTCGTTATTGTGCTGTATATGTTTTGACTAGGAGAGACCTACCATATAAAAGGTGTAATTGTTATTGTACTGTAGGTGTCATGACTAGCAGAGACCTACAATATAAAAGGTATATTTGTTATTGTGCTGTAGGTGTGGTGACTAGGTGATACAGTATAAAAAGGTTAGTTGTTCTTTTTGTGCTGATAGTTTGGTGACTAGGAGAGACCAACATTTTAAAAAGTTTAGTTGTTATTGTGCTGTGGGTTTGGTGATTACGTGCTATAGTATAAAAAGTTTAGTTGTTATTGTGCCTTAGGTATGGTGACTTTGAGAGACCTAGAAAATAAAAGGTGTAGGTGTTATTGTGCATTAGGTGTGGTGACTAGAGAGACCTACAAAATAAAAAGTTTAGTTGTTATTGTGCTGTATATGTGGTAACTAAGAGAGACCTACAGTATAAAAGGTTTAATTGTTATTTTACTGTAGATGTGGTGAATAGGAGAGACCAACAGTATAAAAAGTTTAGTTGTTATTGTGCTATAGGTGTGGTGACTATGATAGACCTACAATATAAAAGGTGTAATTGTTATTGTACTGTAGTTGTGGTGATTAGGTGATACATTATAAGAAGTTTAGTCGTTATTGTGCTTTAAGTGTGGTGACTAGGAGAAACCTACAATATAAAAGGTGTAATTGTTATTGTGCTTTTGGTGTGGTGACTAGGAGAGACCTACAAATCAAAAAGTTTAAGTTGTTGTTGTGCTCTAGTATGTGGTGACTAGGAGAGACCGACAATATAAAAAGGTTTAATTGTTATTGTGCTGTGGGTGTGGTGACTAGTTTATTTGTTGTTGTTTTGCTGTAGGTGTGGTGACTAGGTGAGACCTACAATACAAACTTTAGTTGTTTTGCTGTAGGGGTGATGACTAGGAGAGACCTACAATACAAAGCTTAGTTGTTGTGCCTTATGTGGGTTGACTAGGAGAGACCTTCAATACAAAGTTTAGTTATTGTGCTGTAGGTGTGGTGACTAGGTGATGCAGTATAAAAATTTAGTTGTTATTGTGCATTAGGTGTGGTGACTAGGAGAGACCTACAATATAACAGGTGTAATTGTTATTGTACTGTAAGTGTGGTGAATATGAGAGACCAACAGTATAAAAATGTTTAGTTGTTATTGTGCTATAGGTGTGGTGGCTAGTTGATACAGTGTAAAAAGTTTAGTTGTTATTGTGCTGTATATGTTTTTACTAGTAGAGACCTACCATATAAAAGGTGTAATTGTTATTGTACTGTAGGTGTGGTGACTAGGAGAGACCAACAATATAAAAACTTTAGTTGTTATTGTGCTGTAGGTGTCGTGACTAGATGATACAATATAAAATGTTTAGTCGTTATTGTGCTGTAGGTGTGGTGACGAAATGATACAGTATAAAAAGTTTAGTTGTTATTGTGCTTTAGATGTGGTGACTAAGAGAGACCTGCAACATAAAAAGTTTAGTTTATTGTGCTCTAGGTGTACTGACTAGGAGAGATCTACAGTATAAAAGGTGTAACTGTTATTGTGCTGTAGGTGTGGTGACTAGGAGAGATCTGCAGTATAAAAAGTTTATTTGTTGTTGTTGTGCTGTAGATGTGGTGATAAGAAGAGACCTAAAATATAAGTTTAGTTGTTGTTGTGCTGTAGGTGTTGTGAGTAGGAGAGACCTACAATACAAAGTGTAGTTGTTGTGCTGTAGGTGTGGTGACTAGGAGAGACCTATACTATAAAATGTTTAGTTGTTGTTTTGCTGTAGGTGTGGTTAGTGGGAGAGACCTAGAATATAAACTTTAGTTCTTGTGCTGTGGGTGTGGTGACTAGGAGAGACCTACAACATAAACTTTAGTTGTTGTGCTGTAGGTGTGGTGACTGGGAGAGACCTAGAATATAAACTTTAGTTGTTGTGCTGTGGGTGTGGTGACTAGGAGAGGCCTACAACATAAACTTTAGTTGTTGTGCTGTAGGTGTGGTGACTAGGAGAGACCTACAATATAAAGTTTTGTTGTTGTTGTGCTGTAGGTGTTGTGACTAGGAGAGACCTACAATATAAAATTTAGTTGTTGTTGTTGTTGTGCTGTAAGTGTGTTGGCTAGGAGAGACCTACAATATAAAGTTTAGTTGTTGTTGTTGTGCTGTAGGTGTGGTGATGGTGTTCAACACTTCAAAGTTTTGCGTGATTCTCAAGGCAAGTTCTTTTTGTGGGTGGTCAAGTTTAACTCTCTAAACGAACTGGTAGAGTACCATCGATCTGCATCTGTAAGTCGTGTCCACGACATCAAATTGAAGGACATGCATCCTGAAGAGGTTGGTATTTTAAGCAAACACTCTTTTGCTTGGAATGTATATATGAGGTAGTGAATGTCAATCATTGAAAATACTTAAAGTGATTTACTGAAAATAAACAAGCATCATCATTAGCTTTGGTTTTAGTGTAGTATTTATAAATTGTATTGTAACAAATTTTAGTAACAAGAAAATTCTTTCTGAACCATGAATGTATTTTATACTAATTGATTTCTAGTTTTTGTATTGATAATAAATTTGTTTACTTTTAAGGATAAGTGCATATTGTGTTATGCACTTCTAACATTTGTATCATTTAACTGGACCCAGTTTGAACCCATAGTTAGAGTGCCGGATTATGGAGCTCTGATTCTGTTGCTTGCATCCCTTTACTGCCAAAAAAGAAATCTTGACCTGCATTTTCAGAGTGTCAGCAAAATCTCACTATTTGGTATTAGCTATGGTTGATATTAACTTTCCTCACAATTCGGTGTAAGCTATGGTTGATATTAACTTTCCTCACTATTCGGTGTTAGCTATGGTTGATATTAACTTTCCTCACTAATTGGTGTTAGCTATGGTTGATACTAACTTACCTCACTAATCAGTGTTAGTTATGGTTGATATTAACAAATCTCACTATTCGGTGTTAGCTATGGTTGATATTAATTTTCTGCCTTTCCTGTTTAAGGATAGCTATTGCAGATAGCCCTCTTGTAGCTCTGCATGAAATAAGAAAAAAAATCATTTATCCATAGTTTTATGTGTGCATGCTTATGACAAACAAAACATAGCTTCTTTGAATATAACCAAACTTAAAAATTTAGCCGAGGCTGTAATGTATGATTTCATTCATACTTATTATTGTTATTGTTTGAATGTCTTTTCTAAGTTGGTAAAACATAATTGTAATTAATTAATACTTGTCACATGATGTAAATATTAGGCTTGTTATATTTTTTAACATCGTTAGCAACACATTTCACTCAGTACAGAGTTCATCAGGCCAGTTGGGACACAACAGATACAGTAGTGGCTGAAACAGTATTTATATAAAACATGTAGTGGACATAGTGTGGTTGAAGTACTATTACACGATCTTCTTCTTCATGAAAGATCATAATGGACTAAATGAAGACTGTGTGTTAAAAGTATAATAGGCCTAATACTAATGTCTTATGGCAAGTACAATTAATCACATTTATTACTTTTTTTAGGAGCATGATGGTCATATCAGAGGACTTCAGTTTTAGCTATGTGTTTTCAATTATACATTATCTTTTATTCCACACGAACCAATGTTGTATTTACTTTATATAATACTGGTGTAAAATTGTATGCTATTTCAAATTATAATAGTATTTGAAAAAAATTAAAGCATTTTGGTGTTTTTTTTCAGTTTGAATTACTAAATTGAATTTAAGTTTTATTAATGCACGATTGTTTTTATAAATCGTATAAAGCATGTATTGAGATAATAGCTCATGCAGCACCTAATAATTAGATCTTCACCTGATCTGTTATTTAGTCATCTTTTTATTTGACCTTAATTCCATCTAGAATTGGGGTCGGCTGCTTGAATATTTTATACTAGCCACATATTTTTACTCATAGGTAGCTGGCCCTAAAGGGTGTGATTTATTATTTAATAGTTATGTAGAAAAAGCTAAAAAACTTGCCTTTAACATTCAAGACTCTTATAATTTTAAAACAAGTGTTAATGTTGATACATTGTAAGTACATTATAATACTTTATGTTAAGTTAGACATCCACCAGGTGTAGTTGTTCACTGTTTAGAATATAAAGTGATCTCTCACATGTCCACTTTCAACCTGTAAACTTTATAGATGTTATAAAACATTGACGAAAATTTATAAAAAAAATATATTTTCTTTCATTAAAGATAGTGAAGTATCCATAATTAGTTACCTAAAATTCAAGACTTTCTTGTGATGTTTTAATTATTCATACAATTGGTAAGTCTGTTACATAAATTTCTCTATATCTGGTGTGTTTCCATAGTAAAATAATGTTTAAGAGAACTTATTAGAACACTTGTTGTTCAAATAAGTATGTTCCTATTGAAGTAAGTGCAAATCAAGTGTTTGAAGTTCACATGCATACTGTAATTTTACTTAATCTATACAAAAGCAGTTTGCTATACGAAACAATGTGAAATTTTTAGTTAAAATTTTTAGAAAACTTAGGAATATGTAAAAATGTGAATTTTCTATTAATAATTATCACTAAAGTTATTAGGAATTTATCAGAGATGCAAATTGTGAGGGAGGGTAGACAATACCCCCCCCCCCCCTCCAGTGAAATTATAAAAACTTCAAAGTAACAGTTTTTGCTCTTATTGTGGCTGTGCAATTCAGTGACAGTCCACATATTGCTAGAAAATAACCTATAGTTTCCACGGACCATTAAGCTTATGGAACTCCATAAGAATTCCCCTCCTCTCCATCCCCAGATTTATTCTGACTAGAGAGTATTTATAGACACCAGGCACTGATGAAACATCTATCACTAGAGAGTATTTATAGACACCAGGCACTGATGAAACATCTATCACTAGAGAGTTTCTGTAGACACTAGGAACTGATGAAACATCTGTCACTAGAGAGTATGTATAGACACTAGGAACTGATGAAACATCTGTCACTAGAGAGTTTCTGTAGACATCAGGAAGTAATGAAACATCTGTCACTAGAGAGTTTCTATAGACATCAGGCACTGATGAAACATCTGTCACTAGAGAGTTTCTGTAGACATCAGGAAGTAATGAAACATCTGTCAGTAGAGAGTTTCTATAGACACTAAGAAATGATGAAACATCTTTCACTAGAGAGTGTCTATGGACATCAGGAAGTAATGAAACATCTATCACTAGAGAGTTTCAATAGACACTAGACACTGATGACACATCTGTCACTAGAGAGTGTTTATAATCTATTCCTTTTAACACTGCCTATCACCATAAGTTTTGTAAAGTGTCTTACACACATTGCAAGAGTATAATGTTTGTTTGAATAATTAACATAGGAGACAATGCTAGAGGAACATAAAACTGACTTGTGTTTCAATAATTAAACATAGGATACAAGGCTAGAGAAATTTAAAACTGAATTGTGTTTCAATAATTAAATATAGGATACAATGCTACAGAAACTTAAAACTGAATTGTGTTTCAATAATTAAACATAGGATACAAGGCTAGAGAAATTTAAAACTGAATTGTGTTTCAATAATTAAACATAGGATACAAGGCTAGAAACATTTAAAACTGAATTGTGTTTCAATAATTAAACATAGGATACAATGCTAGAGAAACGTAAAACTGAATTGTGTTTCAATAATTAAACATAGGATACAAGGCTAGAGAAATTTAAAACTGAATTGTGTTTCAATAATTAAACATAGGATACAAGGCTAGAAACATTTAAAACTGAATTGTGTTTCAATAATTAAACATAGGATACAATGCTAGAGAAACATTTAAAACTGAATTGTGTTTCAATAATTAAACATAGGATACAATGCTAGAGAAACATTTAAAAC